TGACAGACAGAGTGACAGACAGACAGAAGGCGAGGGGGAGGCAGGAGAGGAAAAAGGAAAATGGGAGAGATGAGAGAAAATAGGTGAGAGACAGTCACACGCTTTGTTCACAGCTCTGCAGCACCAGAGTAATTTCTCTCTCCTTGGTTCGAAAAGAAAACAGCCAGTTTGTATTGACCCTTGTTTAGCAATACAGCAAAACCAGACCATTTTGTGAATACATAAGTAGGAAAGTATGCCTTTACACCTTATAAATTATTTTAATGTTAATCAAGCCACAATATCAGTAAAGCAAGGACATCTGCACTTCAATAATGGCAAACTGAGCTTTAGGTGCCCCTCTAACAGCAAACAATGATCCTAACCTCTTTGAAAGTTCTCAACCACTCGACTGCACCTAAATCTGGAGCTGCTGGTAAGCTCCCAAAATCAGCTGATCAACGTGTAGTCCAGGTTTTCAAGCTCCTTGCTGAGTTCGGTGTTATCAAAACACTGGCAATAAAATAATGGGCACTCAAAATCAGTTCCACATTTTGTTCCTAATCCCCGGGATTACACATGGTGCGAGTCTGTGGCGTGTTTGATTTATGCTTCAGTGGGAAATTAAGATTAAAATTAACCTTCTGTAACGTTGGGTCAACTTAGCCCGCAACTATTGTGACTGACCTGCTCAGCATTGTTGATTTCTCCTGTTCATTTCACAGCAGTTTTTAAATTTATCAATGAAAGAAAAAAAATCATCACCATAGTATAAAGAATAACCATGGCATCAATATAAAGACTCACAAAACTCAGCAAATTCCTAGAGGAAGACTGCTGAAACTATCAGGATTGATGTAAGAGAATGTACAAAGAATTAAATGAATGCATTTGCCCCCGGAAAAACCTGACTACCACAAAGAGTGGGGATCCAGGGAAAGCCCTAGTATTTTATTTGGCTAGCACCACATATAAAACACTGGGGACACACCCACACGATAAATAACATGCAATACACCAGTATGTGTAAATGCCGACGACGCCGGTCACTTACTAAGGCTACATCGTAGGCTCAACAAAGACTACACAGAACTCTAAATCAGGTCTTAGTCTGCATGAGGTCTTTTATTTTAAAAACAAAACCAAACTGACTTCCCCTCGTGCTAATTTGCACACAGGCTTAATCAAAAACTGACTCTGTGTACATCTTTCATGACACAGAGCGGAAAGACATTTTTGGGATGCTTCTGAAATGCCCTGCAGTGCTTCTGGTGGAGTACAAGTGCTGTCTTAGGGTGTGTTGCTGCACCCACTGGAATACAGGGTGCTCTTACGGGACCACTGAACTGTGGTAAAAAATAATAATTACTTTAAATCTAGTGAGTGTTAAGATTATTTATCACATACCTCAAATTCTGAAACAACAGGCATTTACTGTTTGGTAGTGTGCTTCAAACCTAGTCTCTACCTGAGCTAATACAGCCTGTGCGTGGGTGCATGTTCGTGCATGTGTGTGTTCGGGTGGTTGGGGGTGGTACTGCTTTAAAAAATAAATAAATAAAATAAAAAAAAATCTAAAGAAAAATTGTTTTATCTCAGCAGTCTTATTTTCAAAATTACTGCAAGTCGCAGCTGGAGCCGAAATTAAATTTCGGTTAATTGCAGAGCCCTACCATTGATGCATTAAATTAACATGATCACATTATAACATTTATAGTTTCATATTGCATCTCCACTCATAACCGAGTTGTGTGGATAGTGCTACTCTAACAGGTGCAACCTAACATAACCCAACTTAACCTGCCCAATGCCCAGCGGTGATGGCGTCAGTCATCGGTGATAACGCACGAACGCACTGTGGAGCCGTCTTACATAACTGAGCCTCTGAGGCTAATTTCACAGACTATATTATGTAAATTAACAGAGAAAACTGTGCTTTAAAACTTGAAATGATTTAAATGTGTGTGTTACCTGGCTGTTCATGTGGGTCTAGCTGACTCTGCTGTGTGCTGGGCATCATTGGATCCTACAGAATAACATCCATCATTAAAGTACAATCAGCACAGAGACAAACGTTCAGTGTGTATTTGATTAATTGATGGTAACAGATCTCACATGGATCATCGGTCTGCCGCACTCTACTGTCGCCAGTTTATGGCACTTCTTGTGAACCAGCAGCTTGCAGTTGATGCATTTGTAGCCTTGTCTTCCCAGACCCCAGATTCGGTCTGTACAGATGGCGCAGTGGGCTCGCTGCTCGGGTGGGCGAGAGGAGCAAAAATCATTATCATAATCAAGTACACAGAATAATCCAAAGAGTGGCACAGAGACAACAATGACTTCTGAAACATGAACGAGTCTGCTCGTCTAGAATCAACCCCCTTACTACTTTAAAATCACTGAGGTTTAAAACTTCCATTAAGCCATTGCAATATTTAGACACTAATGTACAAAACAGAAGGGAAATAAAGGATGTATCAAAAAGAATGACACAATTACATTGAAGATTGCAGTAATTTTAAAATACATGGTTGTGCTCAATGTGCCCCCCTCTGGACACTCGGCATACGTCCATATGATAGTCCAACCCGTCCCATACGTTTGCAAGCATGTCTGGAGTCACTGCTGTTGTTATGCTACCTACCAGCAACCACATGAAAGCTCCTCTAAACAGTATGTATTTCGATTGTTACTGATGAACTGCTGTTGAATTAAAGCACGTTAGATGATCGAAGAAAAAAAAAACCAAAAACTTAAAAATAGGCATAGCAGTGCAGAGAACTACACAATTCATTACGTCTCACCCTGTTGAAGCGTTTGGCCTGAAAGGCGTGACCGCTGGCATAGTAAAGCTTTCTCCAGCGTCGAGCTCCACGGCGATATATCGACTCTGTGGAGGGAGGGGAGAAAAAAAAAAAAAGCATCCAGCTTCACACGTGTGATCGGACAAAAATGTAAACTTTCTAAATTCACAACCATATTTGAAACACCACCATCACAACACTTTCTGATCGTTTTGTGGATTTTCTGTGTAATCTTGTTTGTTGAAAAGTGCTAAAACTGTTTGAGTTAAAGTTTATAAATGTGGTTCGATACGCTCTCTTTTATTGTTAGACAGGTAAAAACACTGAATTCATTTCTTGCATGTCAAGTCAAAGCTGTGAATCAGTCGGCATCTCTTATGACTTTTAACCATCAATGTGTCTTTACTGGCTCTCCTGCATGAAATACACTTCAGTGAATTTGAACCACATTATTCAGTGTGATTATTCCACTTCTTCACTCTGGAAAAAAGTGGCAAAGGCTCATTATGGCACGTTCTGCGGTAGGACTACACCTATGAGAGGAACGTGTAGTCTGTCATGTCTCTTGGTGATGAAAAGGCAGGATTTTATGAGTGTATAATCACCTAATCTCACACAGTGACCATGGTAACAGACAAAAATATCATGTAGTGTGAGCCTGACACTGTCTCACAGCTTCATAGGCAGCCATTGAATCACATTGTTTGTAATGGAGGTGGATGTTTTTCTAAATTATAGAAAAACAGAGTGGCTCTGTGGTGTAGCAGTTAACCCATAATTTGTGCACACATCACATTCAAATGATAATTTATTTTCTGCGACAGTACTTCGTTTCTATGCTTTTACAAACTTCTGTTTCTCTGCACAGACTCGTTAAGCGTCCTTACTTGGACCCAGACATTGAACAGTCTCCATTACACCACTGTGCCGTTTTAAGGTTTCCTTGGTGTGTGATAGATTTGAAATACAAGTTAAATGCAGGATTGTTCAGCTGCTAAAAATGAGGTAAAAATAAAGAAAGAAAAGGTTCAACTCACTGTCTTCTCCCGGACAAGGCATGCCAGGTTTCTCTGGTACACAGGGGAACACTGGAAAGAAAAAGGATGACTAACTTTAGACAGTCTTAAAGTCAGACATTTCTATCATCGTGGTGAACCTGTAGCAAAAGGAAAACTTCTTTTCAGGTGTGTATGATGTGTATTTGTGTATGATACTACACAAACTGGGAAAAGACCATTTTTTATCAAAGTCGACAGCAGAGACCGCTCGAGTTAGACTGGGGGCAGCGTGAGTCAGAGACGAGGCGTGGGCTACAGCCAAAGAGCTCGTTAACAAGCAGACCTGGTGGCCCCTCACGAAGCCCTCAGTTCCTCTCCTAAACATCCCCCTTCATGTCTCACTCATCCTCTTTCAGTCATCACACTTGAATCTGCTGCACTCTTGACCCGCCACCTCTGATTATATTAAATCTTTACATTATCCACAGCCCCAGGTTTTATACTGAAACACACACAGCCTGCCAATCAAATCTACCCACATATACAACCATCGCCCCTCAGCCTGGACTCATGAGGTTGTGTCTATGTCAAACAGATTAAGCTTAGACGGTAAACTAGCTGCGGGGCCCATAAACAGTCGTCAGCAGCAGAAGTAATGCTGTTTCATAGTTCAGCGGCACATTAAACATATGTTTGGATGCCTTTTTGTTGTATGCATTATTTAGCCATCTGTGATCAGACATAAGCAGAAATGAACATGATTACTGATGCATAAAAAGCAAAAAGAAAAGAAAGAAAACTACAAGCCACCGGACAGATGTTTAGGTTGACTTTTTGTTATGTCGGTTTTAAGCATTGCAGTTGCACTAGTAAATTTAATTAACATTATCACTTTACTGTCAAACACTGTCTGCAGTCAGGCATGCTCTGCTGGACAAACTATATGATTTTTTTTTCTTTATTATGTGCTGCAAAAAATAATAGTTCTCATAGAAATGTGTTGTAGCCATGACTACAGCCTGTTTGATATGGGATTTTTATTGCAGACACATAGATTTTTTCCTCAGAGATGCACTAAACAGATTTTTCTAACATTTGTTACGTGTTGTTATTTAAAAGTCCTTAAAATAGAAAATAGGATCATACACTTTAAAATTAATGTTATTTTATTATCACAACAAGTCATCGATTACTCATTTACGCTCCACCCGACTCTGCTTGCATGCTGGTTGTTTCCAACAGGGAAGGTGGAGATCGCAAACTACACAACATCAATACTCATAACATGGTTGACAGCCGTTTCTTCTGTCTCATTTTTACCTTTTACTTTAATTTTCCTTTTACTGGTTGTTACAAATGCCAATCTATCAGCAAATAGATCACATCGGCCGATGTGGTGGGTGGCTGGCTCTTCGAAGATCACCCCACCCAGCTCGAAAATAGGAAAGAATCTCAAACTCCAACACTGAAAATTAACAAATAATGAACACTGCTGCTTGTCAGAAGATGTTTGCAAGGCTTTTTTGTAAAAACGTGGGAGGTTTCTGTGAATTCATATCCAAAGACAACATAACTTGATATGGACCGGATAGTGTGTACTAGATCTTTGGCAAACGAATATTACACAGTAACTTATTGTGCAAAATCACTTTGTCAGTGTCTTTCACGTCCCATGGTCTATTTTGATGTTTTTATATCTAAATCGTTAAAAACTCTGAAATGCTAAAAAGAAAAAAAAAAATGATATTGCTTGCAGATAAGTGAGTAAAGCAAGGAAATGTTTTTCATTCTGACAAGAAAAAAATCTAAATATATTAGGATCTATTATTGCAGTGAACACAGGCTCACAATAAAAAAAGGTAATTCTGTTCTAATTCTGTTGTCTTGTGCCTAAAGTGCTTGTAATTAGAAACTAAAAACAACATTAAGGACTGACGCTTTTCACTCTGTAAAAGCAGGAGAGCCTGATTATGAAGGAGGACATTAACTACTAATAAGTCAAACTGTGGCAGTCTGTGTTGGTACTGGCTGTCAGCCACGATCCAGGCCTGAGGGCTGTTCTACTGTAGCTTAATGACCAGAAATGGAACAAACAGTAATGCTGCCAGTTTGGCTTGTTATAAAAAAGCCCAACAGGGAGGTGAGTAGACCACTGGGAAAGCAAAGAGTCAACAATAACAGGCTTTTCTTAGAGTTATTACAGAACTGGTCTGAATTAACATATTTCTAACAGCAGCATACAGGAACACGCGCTGAAAGTGTAGATGTAGCCGAAAAAAGAGAAAAAAAGGACTTGTGTGAAAAGCAGAAAGGCTCACCATGGATAATGAGCTCCGAGTCTTTGTTGAGTTCATAGAGACGCAGAGCTTCCTCCAGTTCCAGTTGCGACGATACAGTGCAGGGGTCACCTAGCAGCGGAGGAGAGACCAGATGTCATTCACCACATTTACATGAACACAAGAAACCAAAGTTACTGGGAGTAATCACATGTGGGAGGACAAGAGAATATTTTTACTTCCTTTGCAGTAAAACTACTTGCAGAAAGAAAAACAACATTTATTAAGTTTCAATGAGCTTCCTCTTTAGAAAGAAAGAAAAATAAAAATTATGGTGTAGAGTACATAATGTACAGCTTTTTTTCCTATGTTTCTAGAATAGATACTAGCAATAGAGATTAGAAACACAGAGACACATAAGCCAATCTCAATCTCCCGAGCCATCAAAAAGGTTTTTGTAGATTTTGCACATTTAAGTGGATTTCTTTTTCTAATTTTACAAAATAACCCTGCTATAGTCTGGCAGGGAGTAAATCTGGTGTTTTATTAAGAGACAAAAATGTTTATGAAGGGGCAAAAATTAGCACATTTGTCTCATCACAATGATCTTGTTTTAATAATTAGTGGAAGCCAAAATTGTTACTGGAATTTAATTAGTTAATAGGTGTGTCTGAACGCCCCCTCTCCTTTGTTCTTTCAAAAAATATCAGCATTTCATTTTCTAGATGCAAATATTAAAGCCTGCTTAGAAATATAAAAAGGAAACCACGGCACATAGAACCACATAGAACAACAAGGGAAGCAGCTGCAAAGGACAATTAAGAGGTAGGTAAACTGTATTTCCAGTAAACGGTGCAAAAAGGCTGTAAGAGTTAAAGGTGAACGAAACAGCGGGGCAGTTTGACATTTAAAATACAAAAAAATTCACTCTAATCGTAGGTGTGATACAAAACGCAACACATGAACTTTTAAGTAAACACTGAAAGTGTGTGGGTGTGAGCAGACGTCGATGATGCCATTTCGAACATTTTTATTTTTAATTGTACATGCCTATTTGTGCAGTGATCAATAATTAAAATGCCACTCAAACACAGATCTAATTACTTCCTCATCATTTACAGGAAAAGTCCAGGGTCACTCGTGAGGAGGCTGGGCAAGGCGATGCTCAATTCTGCTCTTACCGCTCGACCCGACCGATCACCATAAAAAAAAATTTTTTTTAAAGTGCTGATGGTATAAATAGCACAGGAATGGAAACTATGACACATTGTGCAAATTTAAAATGATACAAACTGCTGGAGGTGGATGTTGAATTAGTGGGTGGACTGCAGCAACTATTGTGTCAAAGGTAAACATGACAGTCTGGTTTAATCAGTACAGACAAAGTTTTGGTTTCAGGAAGAGGACAGAAGTGACGCTTTGTTTATCAGGTTTATTATGGGGTTGTTGTTTTTTTAAATGGGTTCATCAGGTTTATCATGTTTCCTGAAAATTTCAACTAATCTGGGCTTTAAAACATAGTGAAGAATTTGCTGCTTTTCAAGTTCATGGACAAAAAGGTGACGTATTAAAATGCTTTGTGATATTGAAAGATTTAATTGTTTAAGCTTATTCAAGCATGTCTTGTACAGTGTATGTAAGGAGCACCCTTGATATTTATGGCTGCAATTAAAATATTTTCATTACTGCTTCACTGGATTGACAAATGAGTCATTTGTTATAAACACAATTTCCCAAAGCCCAAAATGATTTATTCAGGTTGCTGGCTCTCAACTCTTTATCTCAAGATCAGCCTACTGGTTTAAGTGTAATTGTTAAGAAGCCATTTTTGTGTTTACAAGAAAAGCCACCTACATACAGAAGTCACCTTAACTTCTGAAGCCCACTAGGAGCAACCCTTGGCGTTCTTTTCTGAACTGAGCAGTTTTTATCATATTTCAGGTAGGTCTGGGTGATATATCCAATATACACGATGTATCGCAAGTTTTTCACGTACAATGGTGAAAAAGACTATCGTAACCATTGAGTATAAAGTGCCATGGCCATATTAAACTTTCTGAAAGTAATTCACTGAGTTTTGAAATTAAGGGTACAAGGGGAGGTTGTTAGATGTCGTTTTTATGGATTAAAGACTTAAACTAACTCAGTACTATATTTTGTTTATAGGAAAACTCAGTGTTCGAAGTGGAGTATTTTTAAAAACACACATCAGCAGCAGGCAGACATACAGACAAACTCCAGGTCTATTCTGTAATTATAGCGACGATGACCTGAGTTCATGGTGTGCACTTTGGGGGCAGGAGGAGAGACAGCAAGCACAGAGTACGTAGTAACAACATCAAGCAGCTTTTCTGCCTCACACAGACTAATGACTCCAGCGACTTTACGTGGGTGGCTATCAGTGGGAGCTGATCTGAGTCTAATGAGTTTGAGCAGGCCGACCTTCTCCTGAGTGGAATGATCTGATGGTTCCATCTCCATCTTTCCTATGACACAATGACTTCTGCCAAATAACCCGCTGACAAAGGACTGAATCAGCCTGCATACATCTGGACTGACAAGACGTATGCAATGGTAATGGAATGCAGTGGTAATGACATATGTGCTGATGTGAGCCTGCGCTCATCATATGCTGCCAAATTCAACCCGTGGCTCCTAAATCATATTTCTATAATGGTTGTTTTTCCATAAGTTAATTTGTGAAAAAGCCCCAGCTTTGATGGCTGTTCACCTTAAGGTGGAGGCAGCAGTCTGATTAGAAACGTACCTTCCTCATCAATCCACTTCATCGTGAAGAGCTGGTCGTTGTCCATGGAGCACATGTCCTTCACCTCCCCATACAAGCCTTCGTACGAGATGGATGGTTCAAAATGTGTGATCATGATGTCCCTGCAGGAAAGAAAAACAAGTATATTATTTAACTTGAAACAATCAGACATACTGGATCAATACCAACACAGAGTCAATATTTGACTTTCCTGCCACTCTAACATTTTCTATTAGACGCATTCACAGCCAATAAAAGTCATTCCACTAGATTAATTTCAGTATTAACTATTTAGACCAAGGCCAAATAAATAAAAACAAATACAGCTACAACATATCACTTTTAGGGGTGTGATGTGACCATCATACATTGGTTTCTGAAGTCCTATACTGAAACCCCAAGACTGGCATCTCCATATCTACTATCCTCATCTTTTGAAAGTGGCTGCGACCAACAAAGGGCAGAGCTGACTGTACTGCACTCTCAGTGGTTAATGTCTTTGATAGCCAATGAGTATGTCCTGGATAATCATCTCTGATGCTTAGAATAAAAATTTACACCATAAAATATCAGGAACATATTTAGAGAAGTGAAGCTTTCAAGTTCTTTTTGCAATTATAGCTATCGCCCCCTGGTGGTCATCAAAAAGAATGCAGGTCTAAGGTACTTCTCAGATGCCTTCAAATTTCAGACCCAGAAGTTGGGCCCATATTTTATACAGCCGAGAACCTCTGGAGTTAAAAGCGAATAAAGAAATGATAAGCCAAAAGCTGTAGTACTTCTAAAGGCCATATGAGGGTGATTCCAAAAGTGAGCCAATCACCATAGACTCACATGTTAAAATGCCTAAACTTACAGTATTAGAAAGCATGTCTACAGCCTACACAACATCTGCCCCCCTTCATAAAACTATAACTCATCCATCTGGATACTAAATATATCTGGAAAACAATGTATGATTTGATGTAGAGAATCATTACGTTGCTACTTTGTACGGACAGTGATGCTGAACACATGCAATGTAATCTTATCTATATCCATCCATAACCAGCACAGTACACTGTTCTGCACTGTTCTGTATTGTTTAAGAAACAAGTTTCATAAGCAGAGAGGAAAAAAAGTTGTGGGTGCAAACCGAGTGCAGACACTATTTATTGCTTATTATATGTCATTATATATATCTCTTGTTAATTTCCACAAACATACAAATGGCCTCCTTAGTCAACAAATCTGAATGACTAGCGTTTCAAATCTGAATATCAGTACATGCATAGATCCATTCTCTGCAACATGGATACAATATTATGATCCACTTCACAGACATCAAATATTGTTACTAAGGCTGCTGAAGAAAATGTATTGTTATTATTACATAATCTGCTGATTACTGTTTGTACAAACTTTTCAGTCCTTTAAATATCACAATGCAGAACAAAAAATGTCTATCATAAACTCCCCAAGGTTCAAGATGATGTTTTGTCTGGCCAGTAATCTAAAATACAGTAATACTCAATTGAAATGTAAGAAACCCTGAAAGATTTGAGAGTGTGAAAGGAGAAAAGTTTGACATTTTTATTTAATAACTGGCTAATCAAATGATAAGTGATTGTATCAGCACTAGTCATTACTCATAAAGATTTGTTAAACACTCTACTCCTCCAATCTGTCCCCCGCTCTCGCTTATGTCGTCAAACAAAAACTCTGGAGAATGTCAGACTTATGATGGGGAGAAAAGAGGTGAGAGAGCACTTTTTTTTTCTTTTTTCTTTTTAAACACTGTGAGTCACAGTCTGTCACATTTGTGTGTGCATTCATCTGTACAGCATGACTGTGGGTGTGAGAAAGAGCAAAAACAAGAGCGAGAAAGCCTGCCATGGACTGAGCGAGACAGCTGCACACTCAAACAAAATGGCACAGCTGATAGTGGCTGTTCTTGGACCGTGACCGCTGTGGTTTAGGGCTCACTGTCCACCACTGCAGTCCCTTTATGGAAAAGCAGGGAAGCTCAGTCAAGAACAAATATAACTTCTGACAATGCTAGACCTCACTGATCAAACCTTCATCTCATGTATGATGCTAATTTGGCCTTTAATGTACTGGGAACCTGTCCAGAGAGTAACTCTGCTTCTTGCTTCCAGCTCTCCTGTAACCCTGGAAGGATGGACAGACGATTTGGGCTTCTAATGATTATGAAAACAATATAAATAGCATAAAACAATTATTCTTTTGCATTTTTGGCTACAAAGCTCTTGTTTTTTTTTGCACCCTCTTTCATATACATAGATGAGTTTCCACGCCTCTCTTAAAGCTCAAACATCTCCAGACATCTCAAGGAGGCTTAAAACATCCATCTAGATCACTCGATATGACTGCCACCCCATAGCTGCCCCGGCACACAGGTTCATCATCTGTTGTTCATCATTGCAACACTGAAAATCCCTGAAAAGCAAAAATATTTTGCCATTGCTGAACACCAGCTTTGTTTTTGTTTTTTTGTAATTTTATGAGCCCCATCTATTTAGGGGTAAAGGGGGAGTTACCCTAAAAAGTAGGTAGAAACAGATAGATGCAAAGATAAGATTTTTTTAAATGGGTGACAAATTAAAAACAAACCAATTAGCACAAAAAAGTAAACTGGAAAATGTCCTTACAGGATTAGTCACAATGTAAGAGAGAAGAGAGGGGAAACGACTCAGGGGCAAAGCACTATACACATGGTATAGGACGGCCTTTTCCCACTTCCTTTAAATGAATTTGTTAGACAAAAGACTGTCGCGTTATTTGCACAAGTGTCACCACTAGAGGGGACTGTGTGGTCCCATTCAGGCACATCACATTTGGAAAATTAGTCATTAAAGGGATGTAGGTGTTGGATGGTTGTTTAGATTTTTCTACCTGCTTAAATGAACAATTTGGCTAAAATGCAGGATTTTACTCTTTAACACTGCATGGTGTTGTACCTGTTAAATTTAAAAAAAAACATAAGAACTGCTGAGCAGTTATCCCCATGGAAGCCATCAGCACTCCACTCATAATTTCATGTTAGCGCCAGGATAGACATTACCTGCTGTCTGTGTTTACTACACAATAAGATGGGGGTAGAGATGTAAAACACAAGCTTTTACAGGTCTGCAGGCAACAAGAGATCTGATCTCAGGCGGCTACTGGAGCAGGATCAGGAATAAGAGAGAAGAGGGAATGGGCAAAAACAAGGAAAAAGGTAGTGATGTGTAAATGCACTCCCCACCTCCAGCCGGGGACAAAGCCCTCTTACTCCCTTTACAGCCTTCATCCCAGCTGGTTCCAGATTTTCATCAACTTGAAAGCTTTTTATCACAATTATAAAATCCCAGTCTTTTAAAGGCAGCTACTACACAAGTTCAAGGACAGACTGAGGTGTGTGGGGTCAATGCAGGTTCAGTCCTCAAAAGGGAACAAACATAATTAATACCAATAAGCTGGTGAAAGACATTAACAGGAGGATCTGAAATGATTCGTCAGTGCACAGCTTCCGCACAGCAGGTATTAAACTGTCTGCGAAACTACACATCAAGAATGAATAAAGCAATAATATGCTGACGTCAAGAGACAGTCTGATGCCTTCTTCTCCTTCCCTTCCGCTCTCTATTTTCTCACCCTCTTCCTCCATCCTGCTGGTGTTAATCATTACCAGTGAGAGGAGGGGGAGGAGAAAAAGACTGGAAACAGCACTCCTCAAGTCTGATCTCTCCTCCAGGACCAGCATGGCAGCGCCACTTCCTACTAAAACCCTGATAACATCAAAGGTTCAAGAGTATATGAACACACACACGCACTACAATTCCAACACCGTGACTGTACATGATCCAAGCGCCGTTTTGATGCCAGCGAGTGACTAACTGAGTCACGTGTGACTGGACCGGAGCTGAGGGTGTTCATTAAATACTGTGCGGCTATGCTGTAGTTAAAGTTTAGCCAAATCTCCAGTGTTTCAAACAACTTCCTCATTAACACAGATACGAGCTCAGCTAAAGACTGCAGCTGATACAGGAAAGAAGTAGAACACCGTGATCAAAAATAGACTCACTGGCCACCTCATTAGGTACACCTGTTTCAATGATTGTTAATGTGAATAACTAATCAGCCAGTCACATGGACTGCATCTAGACATGCCACTGAAGTTCAAACTGAGTATTAGAATGGGAAAGAAAGGTGTTTAAGCAACGCTGAATGTGGCATGGTTGTTCAGTTCAAGTCTTTCAGAAACCTACTGAAATCTACTGGGGTATTCCCAAACAACCATCTCCAGGGTTTGTCAAGAATAATCTCAGAAACAAACTATCCATTGAGCAGCAGTTGTCTTGGTGAAAATGTATTGTTGATGATAGAGGCGGATCACCACACTGCTTATAGGCTATAAGAAAGGCAACAGAAACAACTCAAGTAACTGGCATTCAGATATGTCTTCTGCAACGAAGGTATGCAAAAGAGCATCTCTTAATGCACAACATGTCAAATCTCAAAGAAGATCGGCTTTAGCAGCAGAAGACCACATCATGTGCCACTCCTATCAGCTAAAAACAGGAAACTGAGGATGAAATTCACAAAGAATCTCAAATTCTTTGTGAATCTCAAAAACATGAAAACAGGGATCCAGCTTGCCTTTTATCAATGGTTCAGATGGTGGTGTAATGGTGTGGAGGATATTTTTTGGCACACTTTGGGCATTGCTTAATAGCCCTTTGCCACTAGTACCTAGTCGGATCAGCTCGGAACAGTTCGACTCAGTTTTTAGGAGTTTCCATTATGTGGTAGTACCTGGCCAGGGTTCCAAGTGATCTGAGACTATTCAAAAATGTGATTTCAAGAGAGTACATGCCACCAATTGGCTAGTCAGTGGCATAACTCAAAGAGTCATGAGAATCAAATCCACCATGTTTTAAACCTGGCATTAAGAGAAATGGCTACTCTAAAGCCATTTAGAGTAGCCATTTCTAAAAAAAAATGAAAAACATTAAAATAAATAAATAAATAAATAAAAAACCCACACAGCAGTCCCCAAGTCTGACAAAACGCCACTCAACGGGCACCAGGTATACCATCGCCTTGATGTCCTCCATTATTGTGGCATTCATGCCGCATA